CATCTGTAAAGCTCCCCAGATGTTTTCTCTTTTGTGTGGGTGTGTGGTGTGTGATTGGGTTTGTAGAAAAAGAGAAAGTAGAAAAAAAAGTTGGAAACCCACAAAAAAAAAAGGTCCCCCCCCCCCCCAAAATCCCAATTAATGCAACACCTTCTTCCCCCGCCCATGCCCCCTCCAAGGAAGCCACGCCCTTTCCAAGGCAATGACCATAGCAACAGTAAAAAACAAAAACAATAAAAAGAGGAAATATAATTGGAACAAATTGGCCCTCCCTGAAAAAAAAACAAACCCCTCGGAAAGAATAAAAGGGGAAAAAAACCTTTCCTGGGTCCAAATTTTCCCCTCCCATTCCCATTTTTTTTTTTTTTCAGCAGACTTCTTTGAAAACAGTCCCCCCCCCCCCCCCCCCCCCTGTTTTTTTTTTTCCTTTTTTTTTTTTTTTCCCTAGAGGTTTTTTAGGTGGTGCAACCACAGAACATTCCCTTTTTGTTTTTTTTTTTTGTTCCCCCCCCCCCCTTTATGAGTGGTTTTTTTTTGGTTTTTGTTTTGACCAAATTTCCCAAGACCTGTTCCTTTCCCCCTCCCCATCCCTCCATCCGCCCCTCACTTTTTCTTTTTTTCCCCCCCCCCCCCTTCTTCCCCCTCCCCCCCTCATCTTCCTGTTCCTCCCCCCCCCCTCCTCCTCCCCTCCTTTTCAATTTTTCCTAAAATTTTTTTCCTATTTTTTTCCCTTTTGTTGATAAGATCCCCCAGGGAAAAAACCCCGCTTTTTTTTTTTGATCCCCCTTTACCCCTCCAAAAAACTGGGACCCCTCCAAAAGCGGCTTTTTTAAAAAGTTCCCCCCCTTTCCTGGAAGCAGCAAATAAGAAAAACAGTGTTAATTTCCCCCCGCCTTGTGTGTTTTTCCCCAAAAAGTGACGCCCCAATCCCTTTTTTTCCAAAAATATTTTTTTTAACTAGACCTAGCCCCTTATTCCCCCCCCCATGGGGGTTTTCCCCCCCCCCCCCCTTTTTCCCCCCTTCCGGGCAAAATTGTTTTTGTTTTTTTTTTTTTTTTCCAAAACTAAAAAACCATAAATCCCCCATTTTTTTCCCCCATAAGCCACTCCCTTAAAGAAAGGGCTTTTTTTTGGGTAAATGTTTTGGGTTGTGGTGATCCTTAGAGGGCTTGGGTATTGTTGATGCTGTTTGTTCATTTGTTTATTTTGCTATTGTTGTTGTTATTATTGTTATTATAGCAGCAAAGGCTACAGACTTTGTGCAAATGCAATTTCATTCCATTTGACCTCTCTCAAGTTTCTGGGATCCCTATTACTCCTTGGTAGTCTTTCATCCAGGTAAAAACAGGCTTGAACTGGCTTAGGTTCCAAAACCAGATGTAGTCAGATGTGAGGACACTTCTATGCTACTGAATAAGACCACCGATCCAATTGTTTTTCAATTCCAACAGCAACAGCTAAGTAGGATATGAGGTTGATTGTTTCTTAGTCCAGTGCAGAGATTTCAAGTGATTCATCATCAGAGAATTTACTCAATCCAGCTTTCCTTCTATAACCAAAATAGACTGATAGTTGGCATACATGGTTGGCTGTTGGGCATGCTTTAACTCTCAAGTCACAAGTGAAAATTCTACAGGACACATTTCTAGAAATATACACAACACTTTCAAGTTGTTAAAGAAACTTCAAATTATACAAAGACGTTATGTTGAAGCTATGTTGAACAGATGAAGTAGTATTAGGATTATAACTATTGCAATTCCGGTTCCTTACCTGCAGTGTCAGTTTGGGAGGGTCCTTTTTCTCTGACTTCATCTGTATAACTGCAATGTTGGGCTTCTTAACCTTTAGATCCGGCTTTTGCAGAGGAGGATGGGAAGGAGGGACAGAGGTTGTCACAGTAACAGGATGGAATTCACCTATACTTCTGCCCGCAGGTTGAGGAGGGATGCTATCGATCTGTTTCTGGCCTAATAAACATTCAAAAGAAAAGGAACAGACACTTTTAATAAGTCTGGAATCACAAGACAAGCTGTTAGTAAATAAACACTGGACACATGCAATGACCTGAGTGAAGGGAAAAGCATAATGTTGTATTGGGCCAGGCTGTAGCACAGCTGGTTAATCACCAACAGCAATAGATTACTGCCAACCGGAAGGTGGCAAGTTCAAAGCCCAAGTCAGATTGAGCACCTGACTGTTAAGCCTAGCTTAGTGTCCATATATGCAGTTTATTTATTTATTTATAACGTTTATATACCAGTCTTCTCAACCTCCGAAGAGGGACTCAGGCCGGTTCACAACAAAAGATTCATAAACAATAGTTTAAAACATCACATTCCATAATACACTAATACATAATACATAAAATACATTAAAATACAATCATATAATTACATAAGGCCAAGTTGGCAGAATGAAATCACAATTCATCACCATCTGTCCGTTTGTTCAAGGGTTATTGACTCACTCATCAAATGCTAAATTCCAGAGCCAAGTTTTCACCAGCTTTCTAAAAGTCAGGAGAGAAGGGGCAGTTCTAATCTCCAGTGGGAGAGAGTTCCAGAGCCGAGGGGCCACCACCGAGAAGGCCCTGTCCCTCGTCCCCACCAGACGTGATTGCGAGGGTGGTGGGACCGAGAGCAGGGCCCCTCCAGAAGATCTTAACAACCTTGATGGTTCATAGGGGAGAATCCGTTCGGACAGGTAAACTGGGAAGGAGTCGTTTAGGAATTTATAGGTCAGCACCAACACTTTGAATTGTGTTCGAAAACAGCTGAGCTGTGAGTAGAAATTAGAGAGGAGGTACTTTATGACACCATAAAAATGCCGGCGATCAAAGAACAAGGAGGAAATACTACACTCAAAAGGGCTCGGCGCCACAGTAGACAAACCAACAGCATTCCCTGTGGCCAGAATCTAGCATAACCTCCAGGTGCCAAAGTTGGAAAATGTCAAAATACCTCTATTTGTCTTGTATATCTTAAAAAAAAACGGCATCAAATGTTTACAATGTACGTGTTCAATGTGATCCACCCTGAGTCCCTTTGGGATGAGAAGGGCAGAATATGAATACTGTAAATAAATAAATAAATAAATATTGGAGCAGCCACAAGGCTGTCATCAATGTTACCTTTCCCATGGAAAAAAATTGATAGATAAATTGCCACATGGGATGCAAACTGTGGACAACACCAAAATCATATTTTTTTTAAAAAAAATTGTCATAAAGATGAAATACTTTCCTTGAAAAAAAGATGAGAAAATAAAGGGTAATAATCATACTGAAAAAGAACTCCCTCCCTCACAGAAGACAGGGAAACCAGCTTGAATGTGAGTTAATGTTCTGCTATTCTTCTTACTGGTCCAGGATAAATCTATACTGTAGAATTAATGCAGTCTGGCATCACTTTAACCATCATGGCTCATGGCTATGGAATCGTGGGAGTTGTAGTTTGGAGATGCATCAGCACTCTTTGGAAGAAGGCTAAAGACTCTGTAAAACTAGAACCCCCATGATTCCATAGCATTGAGCCATGCCTTTTAAAATGGCATCAAACTGCATTAATTCTACAGTGTAGATGCACCCAAAGCATAACAAGAAATAATGTTCTGGACTATGTCCAGTATTTTATTGCCTGCATTAAGTGCCAAATAGTTGATTGTTTCAACTGGATTTGACTGAGCTTGGATTACAATTCACAGAATCCCCAGCCAACACTAGACACACGAAAAGCTCTACAGCAGCTTGGTGCATTACTGACCTCTGTGGGTGTAAATACTGAACTACAATGACATTTATCCAAGTTTCAAGAGGTTGTTTTATTATACAAACAACTCACACAAGTCTCCAATGGAAGAGTCGGAAGGAATTCTTTGCATCTGCCTTGGCTGTAAAACATACTGTTTGACATCCAAAGCCCAAATCATTTTGTTTTTCCTCACAGAATGGCAGAAGAGACAACTGTATAAATAATGATGGTATCAGGGCTGAAAATGACTAAGCAGGAAAGGAATTTCAAGTTGTGGGGGCGACCAGAGAAAAAATACAACCTAGTGTCTGGCAGTTGTGAGAAAAGGCAGATACCGGGCCATTAAGATTTTTTTTTAAAGGGTGATGGTTCTATTTATTCTCAAGAGACACTTGTACCTAGGCATGGGCAAACCTTGGCCCTCCAAATGTTTTGGACTTCTAGGAATGTCCACCCAAACATCCAATTCACCATGCAAAAAGTAAATGAAGGAAAACTGCCATTTCTAGATGTCCTAGTCATCCACAAACCAGATCAAGAATTGGACCACACAGTTTACAGAAAACCTGCATGCACTGATAGAAACCTACATAAAAATGGCAACAATCACCCAAGTTTTTAAAAAAGCAAAATTAAAAGCCCTGGAAGATTGTGCAAAAGGAATCTGCTAACACACCTCCTCCAAGGTGAACTGAACCACCTAAACTGGGCTTTGCAGGCCAATGGAGACTCCACCACAGACATCAGAAGAGCTGCAAGACCAAGAACAAGAGTCAAGACGAAGATCCACCCAGAGGAAAAGTGATCTTGCCATACATCCAGGGAACCACTGACCGCAGAGGGAAGCTGATGAGGAAACACAACATACAAACTATCTACAGACCCACTAAGAAAATCCAACAAATGTTAACGTTCAGCAAAGGACAAAAGGAATCCTCTCACCTCTGCAGGAATCTACCGTATACCATGCAGCTGTGGAAAAGTCTGCACAGGGACCCCCAAACACAGCATTGCCCAGACACAAATCAAGGAACATGAAAGGCACTGCAGACCAAGCCACAGCAGAGCACCTGATGAACCATCCTGGACGCAGCATACTATTTGAGAACGCAAAAATGCTGGACTGCTCTAACAACTATCATGCCAGACTACACAGAGAAGCCATTGAAATCCGCAAGCGTGTGGACAATTTCAACAGAAATGATGAAACCATGAAAATGAACAAAACCTGGCTACCAATAATTAAAAAACTCTAAAATCAGGACAGTAAATGAAGAGGAACACTCAAAAAACAAGGAGATTCCAGACAAGAATCAATCAGGGCCGGCTAACACCTCCCAACAAAGGACCCCCCAGTCAGCAACCAGCCAGACTTTGAAGCTACAAGGCCATTCAATGCTAATGTCAATTGCAACATTCACACTTGCCTCAAGCAGACAAGAGTTCTTTCTCCCACCCTGGACATTCCACAGATATATAACCATTTGCCTAGTTTCCAACAACCTCACAACCTCTGAGGATGCCTGCCATAGATGTGGGTGAAACTTCAGGAGAGAATGCTTCTGGAACATGGCCATACAGCCCAGAAGACTTATAGCAACCCAATACCATAATTGTTTTGTTTTCTTTTTTTTCTTTGGAAAAAGTCAATTTCCCTTTGATAAGAGATAAAATGTTTATAACAGTAACTTATGATGCCATAAAAATCTCCAGCAAGCATGCAAAGAATGAGGAAGTACTTCATCAGTGTTGCAAATGGAAGGTGAACCGACAGCTCCCCTGGTGGCCAGAATACCCTCATGAAAGCTGGAATGTTAAATAGCCTCTGAAGTGTCTGTCTATATATGTGTGTGTCTATGGCATTGAATGTTTGCCATGTATATGTACATTGTAATCCGTCCTGACTCCCCTGCAAGGTGAGAAGGGAGGAATATAAATACTGTAAATAAATACATAATATAACAAAGACACAGAGGTAAAATGCAGATTAAAATGCACCAATAAAATCCAGGTTACAAGTTTAAAAGTTAATGCTGACTGTGACCCGAGGAATATCTGGTTTTGGTCCATACCTAATGGGATAGCCATTGGGATGAGGTGGCCTTCAAGAGGACCTGAGGAACTGGGTGCCTCTTTAATGGGGCTGAAGAGATATTGGAGTTCCTGGCGAGGAGCAGTGACTTGGTGTGGCTTTTCAGGCCTAGCAACGTTGCTGTGCACATGGTGGCTGGTCTGTGTCCTCGCTGACTTTACTTTTGTACCTAGGAAGAACATTTAACAGACATTCATTCATTCATTTATTTATTTATTTACTATATTTGTATACTGCCCTTCTCAGCCCTTAGATGACAGTGCGGTTTACAATGGCAACAATTCGATGCCCAAAAACACCATAAAACATTTTAAAAAAACATAAATACATAGTATAAAACCATAACAAGAATACTAAAAGCATACTTCATTTGCATCTCCTAATAAAAACATGAGTATTTTGAGCAGGATAGGCCAGTTTCAAAATAAATGTCAACAGAGCAAATGAAGCAAAATAGATTTTTTTTTCAGTTCTCTTGGGTTGATCTGCTTCTGATTTATGTGCACCCAAATGGTTCTGATTAAGTGTGGAAACCCCCGGCCACATTAGCCTACATTTTCCATCTATATGAAAAAGGAAGCACAGAGAGCAATGAGATTCCCTCATGCCTCACAAGGATCTGAATTCCTGCCATGATTTGTTTCCATGAGTGGGGCTTCTCAAAGACCCTCCATTTTATGGAATGCAAAGAAAGCAGTTCTTCTGAAAGACTGAGGGGGAAAAGGAATATTAAGGAAATTCTTCCATTACAGACACTTTATATCAGGCATGGGAAAACTTGGGCCCTCCAGGTGTTTTGGACTTCAACTCCCACAATTCCTAACAGCCGGGAGGCTGTTAGGAATTGTGGGAGTTGACGTCCAAAACACCTGGAGAGCCCAAGTTTGCCCATGCCTGCTTTATTTAGTCAATCCTCCAGATTCATGGCATTTAAGGACACAAATAATCATTTCCAAAAATTTCAAACCAGCAAATGTGGAGAGATTATTGTAAACGGACAGTACTGACCACAATAATACAATCTCGACAGTTACATTTCTATAATAGAGATATGATGAAGAAAACAATAGGAGAAAGAGGATGCAATGTGAAAAAAACAGTAGCATAATCTCTGAAATACTGACTCTAAAGAAGAGAGGGAGAGATCATTTACCTTTAACACTTTCTATCAACTTAGGTCTTGGAGGTTTTGATTTGGGAGGAGGTGAGTTGAACCTGAGGTACGGAGACCGTTTGAGCGTGCTCCTGTGTCCCTGATAAATCGGCCGGCCATAGACCTGAGAAAGAAAGTCTTCATCGTGTAACTCCATCCGGGTTTTTGGAAGAACCTGCAAAATAATGTCCAATTTGAACAGGAAGTGGATTACACCACAGCCGGTACATTGCTAGTGACAGAATGTTGGAACTGGATTGCAGATAGTGGGGTTCATATAACTGCTCTTCCATAAAAGCCAAAGGACTGATGTTACGCAAATTGTTCTCTTAACCCAGTGTTTCTCAACCTGGGGGTCGGGACCCCTGGCGGGGTCGCCAAAGATAATCAGAAAACAGTATTTTCTGTTGGTCATGGGGGTTCTGTGTGGGAAGTTTGGCCCAATTCTATTGTTTTTGATTCATGACTCTAGGAATTTAGCAGGATTCTGCATTCTTACCTTATCTGTGAACCTTTGAATGGGTCTTGTTTCAGGCAGAGGCCTTTTTGTCGGTACTCTTGAGGGATGAGATTTCCCCATTTCTCTGCTGACCCTTGCCATCTTGGTGGCTTGTTGCCTTTTGAGGCAGTCGGTCCTTTCCATTTCATCCTAAAGAGAACACGGTACTCTTGAGGGATGAGATTTCCCCATTTCTCTGCTGACCCTTGCCATCTTGGTGGCTTGTTGCCTTTTGAGGCAGTCGGTCCTTTCCATTTCATCCTAAAGAGAACACAGAAATGCTGGACCACACCAACAACCACCATGTCAGACTATACAGAGAAGCCATTGAAATCCACAAGCATGTGGACAATTTCAACAGAAAAGAAGAGACCATGAAAATGAACAAAATCTGGCTACCAGTATTAAAAAAACTCTAAAATTACAACAGCAACAACAGCAGAGAGGAAACAACCAGGCACATCTTAACACCTCTCAACAAAAGATTTTCCCAGGCTCAGCCAGGCCTTCAAATGCTAATGAAGGTGGTCAGTTGAAACATTCACACCTAGCTCCAGCAAAGAAGAGCTCTTTGCACCACCCCAGCCATTCCACAGATATATAAACCCAGTCCTAATTCCAACAGACCTCACTACCTCTGAGGATGCTTGCCATAGATGCAGGCGAAATGTCAGGAGAGAATGCCTCTAGAACATGCCCTATAGCCCGAAAAAACCCACAAGAACCTAGTGATTCCAGCCATGAAAGCCTTCGACAATACATCCTAAAGACAATTTGCAAGAAGAGTTGGGGAAACAATAACTTGGATTGCACCACATGAAGGGTTTCAAGATGCCACTGACCTGCAAATCAGAAGTGACTATAACAACAACAACAACAACAACAATTTATTTATACCCCGCCACCATCACCCAAAGGGACTCGGGGCAGCTTACATGGGGCCAAGCCCAACAACACCTCAGTAAAAACAACAAAGCAATACGCAATATAAAACAATACAATTAATGTAACTCACATATAGACAATATTACACAAAGATTTTAAAACCTATGACTACACTATAAACAGGTAGCCAGGTAAATGATTTCATGATGCCATCTAAGTCATATCACACAAATACAGGCATATCTCAGTTAATGACTTGGATGTGTTCCTGGGCTTTAACAAAAACATTGCTATCAGAGGTAGAAATTTACATGGAAAAAATGATATGTTCCTACACAGAGTAAAATGATTCTAGGCATCTGTTTATCTTCACTTTTATATGTAATCACACAACTGCAACACGACAATCTGGGATAGAGTCCCATTCATTTATTGCATTGTTCATTTTAGACTAAAAAGGTAATGGTTTTCCCCTAACTTTAAGTCCAGTCGTGTCCGACTCTGGAGGTTGGTGCTCGTCTCCATTTCTAAGCCAAAGAGCCGGCACCTCTTTGTGGCCAGCATGACTGTATGGAGCACATTACCTTCCGGAGCAGTACTTATTGATCTACTCGCATTTGCATGTTTTCAAACTGCTAGGTTGGCAGAAGCTGAGGCTAATAGCAGGAGCTCACCCTGCTCCCCAGATTCTAACCTTTTCGTCAGCAAGTTAGCAGCTCAGCGGTGTAACCCACTGTGCTGTCAAGTCCTTTTAGACTATGCATGAACAAACTTGAGCCCTCCAGGTGTTTTGGAATTTAACTCCCACAATTCCTAAAATTAATGCCATTTTTATTTATCGTGTCAGGAGCAAACCAAAACTCTTGTATTGCATTAAAAAAAGACTAACAAACAAACAAAACACAAATTTTTCAGACTTGGTATTCTATTAAATATCCTTTGACCAGTAGCTGGCCTCATGGAGTGCCTCTGGTGTTGCTACAAGCAGGTCCTCCATTGTGCATGAGGCAGGGCTCAGGTTGCATTGCAGTAGGGGGTCTGTAGTTTGCTCTTCTCCACACGCGCATGTCGTGGACTCCACTTTGTAGCCTCATTTGTCGAGTTGGCTCTGCATCTCGTGGTGCCAGAGCGCAGTCTGTTCAGCGCCTTCCAAGTCGCCCAGTCTTTTGTGTGCCCAGGGGGGAGTCTCTCATCTGGTATCACCCATGGATTGAGGTGCTGGGCTTGGGCCTGCCACTTTTGGACTCTCGCTTGCTGAAGTGTTCCAGTGAGTGTCTCTGTAGATCTAAGAAAACTATGTCTTGATTTAAGTCATTGACGTGCTGGCTGATACCCAAACAGGGGATGAGCTGGAGATGTCTCTGCCTTGGTCCTTTCACTATTGGCTGCTACCTTCCAGCGGATGTCAGGTGGTGCAATACCGGCTAAGCAGTGTAATTTCTCCAGTGGTGTAGGGCGCAGACACCCGTGATAATGTGGCATGTCTCATTAAGAGCCACATCCACTGTTTTAGCGTGATGAGATGTGTTCCACACTGGGCATGCATACTCAGCAGCAGAGTAGCATAGGGCAAGGGCAGATGTCTTCACTGTGTCTGGTTGTGATCCCCAGGTTGTGCCATGAATCAGCATTATGGTTAGGTTCTTGTGGGTTTTTTCGGGCTATAGGGCCATGTTCTAGAGGCATTTCTCCTGACGTTTCGCCTGCATCTATGGCAAGCATCCTCAGCGGTGCTTGCCATAGATGCAGGCAAAACATCAGGAGAAATGCCTCTAGAACATGGCCATATAGCCCGAAAAAACCCACAAGAACCTAGTGATTCCAGCCATGAAAGCCTTCGACAATAGCATTATGGCTGTTCATCAGCTAAAGTACTGAACAAGTATCTCCATGCACATTGGTTCCACAGAAAAGCCATAAATGTAATTCAGCACTGAAATGTCTTTCTTTTTTTGGGAAGGACCAGCCAAAGCCATATGAAATTGTTTTGTGGGTGAACTAGCTGTTGTGGCTGAACTAACTGTTAGAATACAGAAATACTCCTAAAGAAGCCAGGAATTCTTTTGCTCCGGTTATAATGCTGGAAGCCATACCTGGATTTCCATGCTGATAGCCTTGATCCATTCATCTACAGTCTTTCTTATTCTTATCTCTTCCAGCACATCCCTAAAGGACAGGAGGAAAAAGTGCATTATAGCATTGGTTCACAGCAAAAGAGCTGTGTCCTCAAGAAATAGGGGAGGAACCTCGTGTCAAATAATTCAATTTACAATCAAAGTCAAAGGCAACCTCCAGCACTGTCCCAGAAGCACTTTATTAGAGTTTGAGACTCTCTGCACATTGCACTTGCCCAGACATCCAACATACCACCTGCCACACCCAGCACTTTTAACCTGTACCCATCACTGGCCTGGCCTGGTTTTTTATTGCGTTTGGTGTAATGTTTTGTTATTGTTATGTTTTAATTGCTGCTTATGTTTTAATTTGCTTTGAATTGTATTGTTATGCTGTTGTTGGTGGCCTTGGCCTTTGTAAGCCGCATTGAGTCCTTCGGGAGATTTTAGCGGGGTATAAATAAAGATAATAATAATAATAATAATAATAATAATAATAATAATAATAATAATAATGAAGAGGAAAAGAGAAAGGAAATAAAGTTACAATCCCTTTTAAAATGGTAATAGGAACTGACAAGACCTCTTGGAAAATGTGTCTTTAGAGGGGAAAGGAAGCATTTAGGAATACTGTGGGAGAGTGTGCCTCATGGGGAGTCCCGGGGGGGGGGGTCCCAAACAAAGTTGCCCCCCACTTTAAAATTTTCCCCTAAGCCAGATGTGGGCAAACTTCAGCCCTCCAGGTGGTTTTGGACTTCAACTCCCACAAAGGAATTAAATTGAATTGGAATGGAATTGTGGGAGCTGAAGTCGAAAACACCTGGAGGGCCGAAATTTGCCCATGCCTGCCCAAAAGAGAATATTGATTGACAGACTGTATGGTTTGGGTTTGGGAGAAGCACACAAATAAAGTGCAAGACATAGTTTTTACATATCACACTTGGGATTTATTATTATTTACAATGCTCATTATTGGAAAGACCTCCACTGCCAGCATGCCATTTGTGAACACTTAATTCATAATGCTCATGATGCTCTCTGGAATAATAGATTTAGCATTTATATGACTCCTGCTGCATCTTTCTATCAATGGAATGAACAAGGCATCTAACTAACAGTAAAGTGCTAAGTGCAAGGTCAATTAAATTTGGAGATAAAAGTTTTTAAAGTAGGACCCTTTATCATAGCTATCACACATTACACTGAGCTAGGAATGGCATCTCTGTGAGTGATCCTCCTACTTTCTTCTGATGCTTTTTTATCTGGTTATTCACTTATATTACACTACGTAACATAGTTTATGTTCCTGGGGTATAAATGTCATTTCTTAAGTGGTTCTATCATAAAAACATGGAAAAGGTTTATTAAACTGCAAAAACTGAGGGACATCCTGCTGCACATTGTGCTATAGTTTTTCAATAAATATCTAATTGAGTCTCCACCAATTCAACATACTTTGTGGCAGCCACAATAATGAAGTTTCTGGTGTATAAGTATTATTTTTAAAGTAATAATAATAATAATAATAATAATAATAATAATACTTTATTTATACCCCGCCACCATCTCCCCAAGGGGACTCGGGTGGCTTACATGAGGCTAAGCCCAACAACACACCAGTAAAACAAAACAGCAAGCAAATAAAACAGCACAATTAATATAACTTACATATAAACAATACCACACAGAGTTGAAAACCTTATGGCCGGGCCAAATAGTAAATAACACTTTCAAACCAGTAACATAACATTGTTCAAATTTTGTAACAGGGTTATTATCATATGTTCTGGAAAACCAAACACTGCCTCAATTGAGACTAACATAGACAAACAAATATTAAGGCAGGGAAAATTTAATATGAGCATAGATGTCATTCTGGCCCTACCAAGAGTTCATTTGTGTCTTTATAGGACCACAAATCTGAACACAACTGAGATATTCTGATGCCTTTTGAATTCCTCTTCTTTATTTCATACTTTCCAACTCCAGGCCTCTGAGTATCACATTCAATACTGCCATTTTTCAAAACTTATATTCTATTTTTCACTTCTAGCCCCAATATATGACCAGAAAAGCGAAGAAATGTTTTAAGGTAAATGTCAATGTCTTCACAAAGAATGCAGAAAAGAGCCTCTCTCAGGTCTCTGATATCTGCAATGTCGGAGGCAAAGACAGACATACAGATCAGGTATCAACGAACAAATTGCAGTACATACTTTTTAAAAAAGTAATAGAAGCAAACCTGTCTGCTGTCAGCTCATCTATAAAGGCATGTAAGGCATTGCCATCCTTGGCACGAATAATGGCCTCCAAATTTTCTTCCAGAAGCTTCTTATTTTTCTGAACAGCTCTCAGGATTTTTTCAGCATCTCTCAAGATGGATTTTGATGCCTTGGTTGACTGAAGAATGGATGACTTGGAAAGATGCTGAAGCTCACAGAGACTTGGGACAACAGGAACTTTCTGTCAAAAGACAAGTACATATATAATTAATGCCACTGACTTTGACAACCCGGGGTATATTAGGTGCTAGGTGAAAAACAGAATATAAATAAAATAAGAGGAGTTTTTGGAAAATAAGGTTACAAGATATTTTTAAATACAAAGAATGAATATATTTTAATAATATAGCATAGGTATTACATTATATGTACACATAATCACCATTCAGTTCAACACATTTTGTCGTCCGTAGAATGAGTTTTTGATGCCTGTGTCATAGAAGTTTCCCTCCGCCTTTTTCAGCCAGTTTGCCATTTCAATTTTCTCCTCCTACTTTTTGGAAAAGTGTTTCCACCAAGGTGTTCCTTCAATTTAGTGAACAGATAGTCACTGGGTGCAAGATCGGGGATGTGAGAGGGGCGGCTTACAACATCCCAACCAAATGACGTTAACTCTTGTGTTGCATGAGTGGTGTGCAGACACGCATTGTCATGAAGGAAACAGACTCCCACCATCAGCATCCCACGACGTTTATTGTTGATGGCTCTGCTAATTTTCTTCATGGTTTCACAATATATTCTGTACCCATTTTGTCACATGCTGTCTTGACATTACGTCCTCTCCATAAACTGAAGCGATTTCACGATGAATCGCAGTGGCGTTCATGCTCTTAGCATTTAGGTATTAGGTATTATAGTGCAAACTTGACACTTGGAGGGAAACAGAACGAGGACACTCATCTCTAACCTTCACCACCACGCCAGCTGATGAGCTACTGGCACTGCTCGTTTGCTTCCGCTGGCTTCTCGCTACACAGCAGTGATACCAACTTCCCCAGAGAAAATTCCCCACAAGAGCTATGCGCCTTGTAACCTTACTTTTCGGATAACCCTCATAAATATTGCCTTTCTAAATACAGGCTTCATTCCTGTTACTATGTAATAAAGATGTTATTACCTTCCACCCATCCCTACGACTGACAAATAAAGACAAGAAGAAAACGGTAAAGAAGACAGAAAACGTTATCTTAAAACAGTGGTCATCTTACAATCTATTTTGTCCTCCAAAACAAAACAAAAATGCTGTCTATTGCCTGTCAACATCTTCTGGAATACAACTGGAAAGGGCACATTGTAAATGGGCATGGAAAACAATGCCAAAACCAATAATAATAATAATAATAATAATAATAATAATAATAATAATCTTTATTTATACCCCGCCACTATCTCCCCAAGGGGACTCGGGGCGGCTTACATGAGGCCAAACTCAACAACACATCAGTAAAAACAAAACAGCAAGCAAATAAAACAGTACAATTAATATAACTCACATATAAACAATAACACAGAGAATTTAAAACCTTATGGCCAGACCAGATGTAATAAATATTTTTTTTAAAGTAAATACTGAGCATGTACAGAGGTAGGATGTATCTAAGCAGGAGGGTTTTAAAAGATAATGTAGGGATCACAATATACACAAAAATACCGAAATCTCATTGAACTCACTATTGATACAGTTGCTGCAAGTCAAAGCTGACATGATGGGAAACAACAGAAACAGAAACAATAAAAAGTAGTCAAGAAAGAAAAAGGAAGAAAAAGCTTAGAAGGTTGGGTTTCAAAAAGACAGCAAAAGAAAGTTCCAGGTAAAGGTTCTTGTGGAGCATGTGCCACACCATTTGGCAAGTGAGAAAGCCCTCTCCTTGCTTGGTCTGTGCCTGTTGTACCTCAGCTGGTGGAGGCATGGGAAGAAAAGCCTCTGATGATGGCACCAACGAAACAGAAGACTGAGACTGAGGCAGGCGATCCTTCACTTGGACTACTTCTCCCGGGTGTGCAGTGGTCTACAATTTAACACGAACATTAGTAAGCATGTCATAGGAAAAATGATAACACTGCTCATTCTTAAGGCAGGAGTATCTAACTCATTTCCAGTTAGGGCAACATCCACTTTATGGTTGTCTTCAAACGGCCATTGAATCAATGGGTGGAGAATCTGTGGATACAGAGGGCCAACTCTAATATTGTTTTACACAGAAGTCAGTGCTCTTTAGTTTTTAAGGCTAGTCTGGGTCCCCAGATGTTACTGAATGACATCTCCCATCATTTAGAAAATTACAAATCAAAATGTTCATTATTTAGAAAATAACAAATCAAAATGCATCAGTGCTCTATTTGAGTCACTTTAAAATGGATATAGGACATTTTTTTACTGATGAAGACTCAAAGGCCCTGGAATTCTGTGACAATTAGCAATAATAATAATAATAATAATAATAATAATAATAATAATAAATTATTTGACACGAAACCTTCATAAACTTGTTTATATCCGACTTCCATTCCTTTGCATCCTGTAAGGCAAAAAAAATAAATAAAAATCAGGTGTTACATTGATGCCAAAGTTACAATAATATACTACGACTACTTCTGAATATTGACCAATTCCTTGGTCCTTTTCCTTGTTTATTGAAACATCTCTTTGAAAAACCGTTCATTCCTGTGGATACCAGTGTGGAGTATATGAAAACCCATTTCCTTATTTAACATTTTACGAAGCCTAATATCACTGACTACTTGCTTACTTAGACCCCTTCTACACTGCCATATAAAATCCAGATTATCTGCTTGAACTGGATTATATGGCAGTGTAGACTCAGATATTCCAGTTCAAAGCAGATAATGTGGATTATCTGCTTTGATAATCTGGATTATATGGCAGTGTAGAAGGGGCCTTAGAGAAGGAAGTACGTTCGACATAAAATGAGTCAAATCAATGTTATTAAAATAATTACAAAACGAACACTCTGCATTAAAGTATGTACCAAATATTTAATGGTTCTCAATATTCAGGACAATTCAGGAAAGACTGTTTACAAAAAAGAGGAGAGTAGAGTGGACCCTTCAGATCTGTGGAGATTTGGTTCTAGGAAATACAAAAAAAACCCATGGATGGTCATGCCACATATTATTTAATGGGTTCAGCATGTCTGTGTTCATGTGACCACTATTTAATAATATGGGGCATGATGATTTACTGTCAGTGGAATTCACAGATCCAGAGGTACTACTGTGTGTATATATAGTCTTCGACATTAAGAGGGGTTTGAGGCATGGGATGCCCATGAAAAAAGGAAAAATCAAAACAAACTTCTCTAAATGGAACAATATCAGCCAGTTTCCAATCTCCCCTTTTTGGGCAAAGTCCTGGAACGTGTGGTGGCTTCACAACTCCAGGTATTCTTGGAAGACACGGATTATCTGGATTCGGCACAGTCTGGCTTTAGGCCGGGACATGGAACTGAAACAGTCTTGGTCACCTTAGTAGATGATCTTCGCCGGGAACTAGACAGGGGGAGTGTGTCCCTGTTGGTTCTGCTGGACCTCTCAGCGGCCTTCGATACCGTCGACCACGGTATCCTTTTGGGACGCCTCAGGGATATGGGACTTGGAGGTACTGTTTTCCAGTAGCAGGTTCGCAGCTTGGGAGTGATCCTAGATTCATCACTGAGCCTAGAACCCCAGGTCTCAGCAGTGGCCAGGGGAGCTTTTGCACAATTAAAACTTGTGCGCCAGATGCACCCGTACATTGGGAAGTCTGACTTGGCCATTGCTCTACATGGGGCTGCCTTTGAAGATTGCCTGGAAGTTTCAAATAGTCCAACGGTCAGCAGCCAGATTGCTCACTGGAGCGGCGTACAGGGTGCATACAACTCCTCTGTTACACCAGCTCCACTGGCTGCCAATCTGCTACTGAGCACAATTCAAAGTGCTGGTTTTAACCTTTAAAGCTCTAAATGGTTCTGGCCCAGACTACATGTCCGAACGTATCTCCTGCTAAGAATCATCACAAAGTTTAAGATCATCTGGAGAGGCCCTGCTCTCGATCCTACCACCGTCGCAAACGCGATTGGTGGAGACGAGAGACAGGGCCTTCTCAACAGTGGCTCCCCGTCTGTAGAATTCCCTCCCCAAAGACATCAGATTGGCCACCTCCCTCCTGTCCTTTAGAAGAAAATTCAAGACTTGGCTGTGGGACCTTGCGTTTGACCTTTGAATAGAGGCTGGTAAGAAGAAAACATAAGCAATTTCAAAGTGACCATGAATTGACCCCAGGCCCAGATTTTAATTGGTGTGTTTTTAACAACTGTTTATTTAATGTTTTGTTTTAATGAATTTGTTGATTGTTTTTATCATTGTGATGGCACCGAATGGTGCTTGCTGTGAGGCCACCCTGAGTCCCCCCTCGGGGGTGAGAAGGGCAGGGTACAAGTATATGAAATAAATAAAATAAAATAAACATGTCTAGGTCCTTCAGTATGATTCTATGGTCAATTTCCAGTCACAATTTCATGCTGGAGAAGATGTCTAGGAAGAAGGTTGTTTCTTTTGTTTTTGTTTGTTTGTTTGTTTGCATGTAGCACTGCGCTTCTAAACTGTGGGTCCTGACCCCAATGGGGTCTCCTTTAGCTCAATGCTGGGGTCAATAAAAATTTGGCAGCAGTAAAAGATTTCTGAATGCCACCCCTTTACACAAACCTGTCTGCAACAAGATGCTGTGTTTACAAGGGATTCTGGAGGAAATGCTTCAGCCATACTCCACAAAAGGAAAATCGGTCTATTTAAGCAAGGCTTGCAAATACTGATTTATCACACTATGTAACCCATTTTTGTTCCTGGGTTATAAATGACATTTCCTGATTGGTTCTATCATAAAAACATGGAGAAAGTTTACTGAACTGTCAAAACTTTGTTTTTGCGGGAAGGACATCCTGCAGTACATTTTACTACAATTTTTCAGTGAATATCTCATTGAGTCTCAATCAATTCAACATCGTTTCTGGACACAAAAACAAAGTTTCTGGAGTATAACAACTACTTTCATAGTAAGTTATGCATAATTAAACAGGAAATAACACTTTCAAACCAGGAACAATTTTTTTTCAAATTTTGCGGCATAGTGTTATCAGTAGATGTTTGACTTTACACCTATTTTATATACTTAGGGCTATGTAAAAAAAATTCAGATGGAAAGTGTACGCAAGTGGAAAAAGTTGAAGAAGTCCTGGCATACAGGGAAGTGGTGGAAATGGCAGGATATATAGTAATCAGCAAACCATCAAATCCACAAAAGTGGAGGGAAGATTGTATCTCAGTTCTTCCTTACAACAGTCCTGTGTCGTATGTATGGCTAACAGACATTGACTTGTCCAAGACTGTTGCAGTGAGAGTCACAGCCAACTTGACTGGTACATCTGGCTACTGGAAACTGTTTTTAAACTGCATAAATCAGAGTTCATACACAGGAGCTCCTGGTGGCACAATGGGTTAAACCTTTGTGCTGGCTGGACTGCTGACCAAAAAATCGGCGGTTCAAATCCAGGGAGTGGGGTGAGCTCCTCCACCTGTGAGCTCCAGCTTCTCATGCAGGAACATTAGAGAACCCTCCCACAGGATGGTAAAACATCCAGGTCCCCTCAAGGTCCTTGCAGACGGCCAATTCTCTCACACCAGAAGCAATGTGCAGTTTCTGAAGTCACTCTTGACACACACACACACAAAATCAGAGGTCAAAGGGGTTTGCCAATTCATAACCACTACATACTATCTGCACAATTATTCTAGTTTAAGGAATGTCTCTGTCTTGGATTTTGAGGCTGCAAAATTAATACCTCTGCACATCCAGATGCTTGGATTCTGGTTTATAGAACTTTTCAACTTCTCCCACCATAAATTATTTCAGCAATTCCCAGTTATCTTTTGCCTCACCTGCAGGATGTCATGCATTTCCCTCTTCAGTTGTCCCAAATCACGGAGCACGTCATCCGCTTTCTGAACAGTCCTCTCAACCGGGTTACTTTTAAATGCACAGAAAGGCTCTGGCTCCTGGACACTGGATCTGCTAAGAATAATATTTTAAAAACACTCACAAATGGGAGAAAGAAAACATTTTTATGAAGCTGATTAGATTAAAGGGGTGCTAAATACAGCTGAACCAGCACCACTTGCAAATAATTGTTGGAGAATCAAGATAAAATCCACTACAGTTGTGTAGCTGCTTATGGCTTGCATTGCTTAAATCGATGACTCCCAACCTGTGGTCTATGGACTACCAGTGGTCCACAAGAATGAAAATATGGTCCGCGGCCTCACCATTACTACACCACTGTCTCAAAACCACTACTTCAACCAGAGAAATCAGCCAGAGCAGAGCACCTGATGAACCAACCTGGACAGCATATTATTTGAGAACACAGAAATGCTGGACCACTCTCACAACCACCATGTCAGACTACACAGAGAAGCCATTGAAATCCACAAGCATGTGGACAATTTCAACAGAAAGGAGCAAACCATGAAAATGAACAAAATCTGGCTACCAGTATTAAAAAACTCTAAAATTACAACAGCAAAACAACAGAGAGTAAACAATCAGGCACATCAAATCACTCTCAACAAAAGATTCCCCCCAGGCACTTCCAAGCCATTACATGCTAATCAAGGTGGTCAGTTGAAACATTCACACCTAGCTCCAGCAGACAAAAGTCCTTTGTCCCACCCTGGTCATTCCACAGATATATAAACCCATTTTCCTACTTTTCCAACAGACCTCACTACCTCTGAGGATGCTTGCCATAGATGCAGGCGAAACGTCAGGAGAAAATGCCTCTAGAACATGGCCATATAGCCCGAAAAAACCTACAACAACCCAGTGATATATGGTTTTCTGTGGGCAAGCAGATGGTGACTACTGGATGGCATATGTTTTGTATCAGAAACTAGAGCTGATGTGGTCTATTCAATGCAGTTTTCTGAATCAGCACCCCAAATAACCAAACCAAATCTAAAGTTGACCAAAAACTGATTTGTGACCTATTTGGTACTAATGTTGGAAAGTGGTCCCCAGTCAAAGTGGTCACTGGTCAAAACAAGGTTGGGAACCACTGGTGTAAATCTACAAAGGAGCACCTGTTCCCTCTAAACAAATTGCAGTAGCAACATACTTTTTTGCATTAAGTTGGCAGGCTTTGTTACCCTTTTTCTGCACATTTATCAAAAATAATTTTAAAAATCTATATGCACACATACATACAAAAACATATGAATTTTTGACAATATTTCCAAACATCTATACAGTAATTGTTCCTAATTATACCATTCTCTCTTCCTCCCCATCCCACTGTAGTGACTTCCCATCCTTTGGGTTGAAGACAATCATGTATTTTCTTCCTAGTGAAATATTTTTCCATTCTTCCTTCCAACATAATTATTTTTTTAAATTCTATGCAAAAGTGCTAACAGATTAAGTTACAAAGCATTTTATTTATTATTATTTATTTACAGTATTTATATACCGCTTTTCTCACCCCGAGGGGGACTCAAAGGGGTTTACACATAGATAATGGCAAAAATTATTTACAGTATTTATATACCGCTTTTCTCACCCCTAGGGGGACTCAAAGCGGTTTACACATAGATAATGGCAAAAATTCAATGCCTTACAACTACAATAGTAAAACCACACTTTAAACATAAATCATATTAAAAACAGTACATCATCAAATATCAAAACAGTTATTAAAACCATAAAACAATCTCATCAGTCAAGTCGCCATTCCAGTCCTTGTCCCACTAAAAGCTGCATACATCTATTGTCCGAAGGCCTGGTCCCAGAACCATGATTTTAATTTTTTTTAAAGGTCAGGAGCGAGGGAGCAGATCTTACCTCCTTTGGGAGTGTGTTCCATAGGCGGGGGGCCACAGCCAAGAAGGCCCTGCTCCTCCTCCTCGTCCCCGTCAACAGCATTTGCGCTGTGGACAGGAGCATGGCATCCCCAGATGATCTTAAATTGCGAGGTGGGACGTAGGAACAGATGCATCAGCTGGGCCTGAACCATATTTTTGGCACTGTCTACTTTTTAAAAATTGGGCTTCACCTTATAAAGCTTGAATCAACACTCTTACCACTCTCTTTCAAAAGGCCACAGCACTCCATTGTTCTTTGCTGGCTCTTTCAAAGAAGATGTCTCCTGGCTTAATGGGATTTCTTGAGAATTCAAAATTTGTTCAAGTAATTTTCCTCCACCTAAGAAGGAAAAAGTCACACTATAATTACACAAGACTCCGAATGTGAGAGCATGTATGTGTGTATACGCACTCACACATTTAAGCAGTATGTTGCTAGTTTCCATTCAAGAACAGCTGCTAAATTTCAAGGCATACTTTTACAATAACTTGGTACAGGTCAAGTATCCCTTCTCCAAAATAGTTACGGCCAGAAATGTTTTGGATTTTGGATATGTTTAAAAAATGTGAAGTCTTTGCATGTATGTGCATAATAATAATAATAATAATAATAATAATAATAATAATATAAATAAATAAATATACTATAATAAATATAACATAAATTGATTGTTTAATTGATATATCATCAGCCCACCTCGGTTGGGATTGAACGTTTACTTTATACTTTTTACTGTATTTATATTTGAATTGTTCAATTGGTATGTCATGTTTATTACTGTATGTTTAAATTGATATGCTAATTGTTTAAATTGATACATCATGTTTATTATTATACGTGTAATGCGTCTCACCCATTGGGGTGAGAAAGGCAGGGGTATAAATGTATAATAATAATAATAATAATAATAATAATAATAATATAATAAATATTTATTATTTAGCTGTATACATTATATATATGCACAATAAAATATTATAAAATAATAAATAAATAAATAAATAAAAGTTTTAAATTGGGTGATGAGATATCTTGGAAATGGGACCCACATCTAAACAAAGTATTAATTTACGTTTTATATTTACTTTATACATATAGATTGAAGGTATTTTTATACAATATTTTAGGAATTGTGGGAGTTGAAGTCCAAAACACCTGGAGGGCTGAGGTTTGTCCTTACCTGCTTCAGTTGGTACATCCATGTAAACAAAGAGGCCCTGGATAACTGTGAACCTTTTTGTCTCTTACCTACAGCTGTTCCATAAGCTGGCTGGAGCACATTTTCTTTTTCCCCAACAAAGGGCTCCCTCTTGGACATTTTCTGGGAGATTTTCGCATCTCTGGAGACGGGCACTGGAGCATAGCGCCGCGGGGCTGGCGTGTTCAGGGGGGACTTCTGCCTATGAACAGCGTGGCTTCCAAAATGCCTAGAACAGGCTAGAAAGAAAGATGAATTACAAATTTGCTGATGAAAAGAATGCATATTAA